TTAGTAACACTTCTCCCAGAGGCTGTCATAACCATGCTTTAGACACTGAGTCACAGATGTTTACTCAATCATCATCGCACACCCTGGTTTCTAAGAATTACACAGAGATGGGTTCAGCAAGACTCATTTCGTGAATGGCCCTTTCTGATAGGAGGCACCCGATGTATAAATTCTCCCCATACATTTTCCTGCAGCTCAAATTACAGTGCTTGATTAATTGATTTGACTGAAGAGAATGCACCAAGTAAAGTTCAAATGGAAAGAGTAAGCAGCTGGACACATGTTCACTTTCTTTTACAGTCTTGTTAGTTAATTTTGGCTGATGATTTCATGCAAACTGTGGTACTGAAGTGTATTCACAGCATTGCCTCACTGAATATAGATAATGTTCCCAAGCTGTTGGAAGTGTGAAATACATTACATATAGGGCCAAATTCTAGTTCTCTTGATATCTGTGGGAGAATTGCTGTGCTTTCAGGGGATTGGTATTTGGCCCTTGACGTCCTCTTTGGAAGTTGTTGGTTTGGGTTTTTGGTTTTTGGGTTTTTTTTTAAATTTTCTACTAGACATGGTCATTCTGAAAATACCTGATGCATCAGAAACATTCTGCTGTTTCATGTATAAAATTCCTCTCAACAGAATGATTTTAGCAAGCTTGTTGGGTGAGTTTTCTAAATCATTCAGACAGAACACTTCAAAATTGTGGCTTATACTTTTTAAGGGAAGTTGATACTGCCAAATTTCAAAGGAGTAGGAGTCTTGTTGCCTTTATGTATTGTAAGCAAGCTTTCTTCTATAAGTCCCAAAACAAAAGCTGGCAAAGCCTGTGATATATCCATGATAGCTCTTTGGTCTGAGCTCTTATTGTGTGCCATCGGCATGCAGAAACAAGACCACTGAATTCAGAATACTGGCTATCCCTTAAGTCCCATTTTATACCCTTTCTCCCCATCAAAATTTTGCATTCAGTGCAACTTGCTACTAAATGCAAACAACCTTCTGCATCAGGAAAAAATTAGACATTTCTGTAACTTAGTTACTGTTGTTTCTTTATAGGTAAGAATAACATCTGTGAATCACCAGCCCACAGCCATCTTTCAAGTGGCTAAGCTAACCACTGTCTGGAGAGTGAAGCAGAAACTCCCCTTTCCCAAGGAGAAAGGTAGTTAGGAAGTGTCACTCTGTGAAAGAGAGCAAGCAGTGGGCTGCCAAGGACACCCAGTCTGTCACACTGCTGCTATTCTGCCTGCAAAGACAAGCCAGGCACATGTGGAAAATGGCCAGTCTCTTCCTCATGAGGCTGGAGAAGCAGCTGTGTATCCTCTAATCATGCTCCAAAACTATCAACCTACCGCTCAGCTGCATGAAATGCATTTTCCCTCCAGTCCTTCACTGTCAGAGACTTCATTCCTTCCTGGGCACCTCTTGTGAAAAGATTACTCTGACAGCAGAACACAGAACTTAAGGTCCGCTTTCAGCAGCGAGAAGTGTTGAAAGAGGTTTAGTAGACAACATCTGCTCTAAATTAATGGCCAAGTTAGAGTTTACCTTGGTGAAATTTTAGCAAATATACTGTCATGTTTCTCTCAATCTCACCAGCCTGTTCTTTGATGATAATGCAAATGCACCTTGGGTTTGTGCATCAGCAAAACAGTGGATTTTCTTTTCTTTTTTTTTTTTTTTTTTTTTAAACAAATATACAAGATGCTGTGTAACACTCTCCGCTTTGGGGAATTGCAGAAAAGCTGATGTAATAGCTCCTTGGAAGGGATCTTCCTGGAGTTTCTCACTCCACTACATTTTCATGTCCTAAGACAGGAATGGTCAATAGGGATGGGAAGGTTTAGATTTCACTTTCACATACTTAACTTTGGTTGCAAAGGAGAAAAATCTCCAGTTTATCAAAGCTTAAAAATTTAATAAAAACTTATTGATGTGAGTTTTATATATTTATATATAATGGAGGTATGAAATAGTTGAATCGATTTTGGAAAAGCCCACCTTGTGCACAGTCACTGCAGCTATATCTGAACTGCACTGTGGACTTCATCTTTGAGTATTAGGGGATCCTACAGTTATACAAACTTGTTACAGAGATGTCACGTTTAGGGTACTACTGCATCTTTTCTATAGGGTGACATGTCTCCAGAAGGTAGTTCATTGTACATAGTTAGGACACATTTAAATGAAACAAGTCATCCTTCCTTCTCCATAAATTAGAGTCATGACAGGTTAGATAATTGAGTCAAGCCCCATACGAATTATGCCTATATGGTGTCTCTTATGTGTTCATCACTGGGCTGATGCAGCTGGAGGTGCAGATGCTGTGAAGCTGCAGGATTTACAGCAGCCCAAGGTTGAACCTCATCTAGTTTGCAATAAGAAACTGTAACACATTAAGATAAATCAGGAATTTGTATCTAATGTAGTGTGTTACATCAGATTTCACTCCTAAGATGGGTTTCAAAAATCACTGAGTACTTTCTTCAAAACACCTGATCACTTTCAGGGCATCCAAGAAGTGTGTGTGGGGTGCAGCGAGTGGGTCAGCCATTCCTCCCATGGACTGCAACAGCACAAGAGGACTGGCAGCAACAAAAAAGGTGCTGTCAACCTGGCCAGATTGATATGAAGTATTTGACCTCTTTAAGTGCTAGAAAAGGGAAACCAAAACTCAAGCATAGCATGCTTGTTAGTCTTTGTGTCAGATCAAATAATATGTGCCTCTCTAGATCGAAGTATATTAATGGATTTGTGTAGTTAAAAAAAGAAAAAAAAAAGAAAAAAAAAAGAAGGATGACTAAAATATGTATATGTAGCTTGACAGTATATTTTCTTTTAGGAAAATCTGGAATAAAAGCAACATTTGTGCACACTAAGCAGATGTTTATGATTAGTTCTTAGTTAACATCACCCAGCTGGCCATGGATAGCTTTATGGAAGGGAGAGCATTTGAGAATGTCATATGTTTATATAAATCAAGAACATGGCAGTCATGATACTGGGGCAAAAGTACTACCTTTCTCATTTTAGATAACTTTCAGATTGCACAAGGACAGAGAAGTAGATTGTCACTAACACAGTGTTTCTGGTTTACTGTAATGATAAGATGCACATCTCCATGCATAAAAGCTCATTCTCAGGATTAGACATAGACATGTAGTATATGCACCCATATCTGTTAAAATCTTTTGTCAAATTTGTGGAAATCGATAACCTTAAGGCTCTTCTAATTGTATTTCATAAACCATATTCGTTTACAATATACTTAATTGTAAATACACTGGTTTAAATATAACCTGTTACTAATGCATAATTTTGATATTTCTTTTCATATTTTCTGTACGGGTGTGGAGGTGGACTGTCATATTTTAGAAAAGTAAAGTGTTTGTAATGTCCTTAAACTGTTTTCCTGTTTATGGAAAACATGCTTTTAAAGGAAGTTTATCTGCTGATTGCATGGGCAACTATCTCATGGGGTGATGTGCACCATATACCTGCACACTATACCTGCACAATATTGTGCACAATATACCTGCCTTACCCCCAGTTGTAAAGTTGTAATGAAGTAGGACATATTTGCAGAAATACATAGAAAGTATTTAGCTCCTAGTTAACAAAAAATATTAAGCCAAAATGATGCTACTGGGTGAGAAGGGTGAATGAATCTGTCACAAGTTTCTTGATGAATTTTTGGTCTGTTCAAAAGTTTTTTAAGTTTTTACTCAATATTAAGTATGTAAATGTTGGTGATGCCAATTCCAGCTCGGAAAACAACAAACCTCCTCGTTTCTCAGTTTCTTTGGAGAATATCTGGAGGATAGCACTCACCCACAAAATTGAATCAAGGCTATTTAACTTCTTCCATGATCTACCATGGCTGTAGTATTTGAAACTTGTTCCATAACAGGGTGTATTTCTAGTATGTTAATATAAACATGTTTTGGATATATTTGAAGGGATTGTTGTGGGATTCTAATTTAAATAAAGCACTTTGAACATTTTCTTTTTAGAATTGAACTTTAAAAAATCAAAGAAAAAAGGTGGTGGGGGGGGGAGGGTCAGCATTCTCCTTTATTAAGAAATTGACTTAATTATTTTTGGTCTCTGTTTTCCATTCCCTGAACTTCACGGACACTCAATCACTTCACTGTCTCTTGCTTTACAAACTTGGATGCAGAACTGAAGTGGAGGAGCTTTGGAAGAGATTATTCCAGCAAACCAAACCCAATAAGCAGCCACAGAACTTTCCCAGAGCCCGTGGATGGTGTTGCCATTGCAAGCACAGACCCTCACTCACTTCCCTGCAGTGGATGGGGAAGAGAATCAGAAGGCTGAAAGTAAGAAAACTCATGGGTTGAGAGAAAGGCAGGTTATTTTAAGCAAAAGCTGCACACGCAAGTGAAGCAAATCAAGGAATTCATTCCCCACTTTCCCTTGGCAGGCAGGTGTTCAGCCATCTCCAGGAAAGCAGGGCTCCATCACATGTAATGGTTACTTGGAAACACAAACCCCTGGCTTTATAGGCTGAGCATGGTGCCATATGGTGTGGAATATCCTTTTAGTCAGTTGGGGTCAGCTGTCCTGACTGTATCACCCCCCAGCTTCTTGTACGCCCTTGACCTACTCACTGGCAGGGGGGTGTGAGAAGCAGAAAAGGCTTTGACTCTGTTTTCAATGATCAAAACACCCTGTGTTATCAACACTGTTTCCAGCACAAATCCAAAACATAGCACCATGCCAGCTACTATGAAGAAAATGCACTCTATCCCAGGCAAAACCAGCACAGGGTGACATCTGAGAGTGACAGAAGCACTGAGTTCTTTCGTCATACATGAAAAGGATATGTTGCTTTCATGCTTCTGAAGGCATATGTCTAAGCCTGCTAATGGGACACCTTTGAGCAGTTGGGCATGAAGTTAGTGCAGTGAACTGCTCTAAATGCACATGTCCCATTGATAAGGAAAAACTGAGTGTTTCTGCCTTTATTCTGGGGTGGGGTTTTTTTTGGTTTTCTTTTCTTTTTTTTTAATGCTCTTGATCTGTTTCAAGTATTATCATTACCTCGTCATTACCTGTCATAACCTTCAAGTATCATCATCGTAACCCAGTCACATCCCGAAGTAGTATATTTAGTATAAATGTGCCTTTCATTTAAGGTGCTGTGCTGGAGAGCTGTGTTCACCTGAGCTGTGCCCAGGACTGCTGGGCTGCAGAGCTGCCCAATGTGTGAACTATTAGAGCTCTACTGTACAGCCATACTGGGACTCTGGAAGCTGAGTGAGACCTATCAGGTGAAACCAGCAAAGGGTTTGGTTTGCTTTTAGCTATTCTACTGTTATTCAATGTGTCTCCAAAGCTGACTGTAAGCCTTAACACCTTTTTTTAAGGAATAATGCTACTACGTAAGGTTTTTCCAGGGAAAGGTTCAGGTACAGTCCCATGACTCTATTCTCCAGTTAACACAAGTACTGTTGTCTAAAACATAACAGACCTTTTTGGCTGGCTTCACGTCAACAAGGAGATCAATTTAATTTCATGTTTAATTTTACATTATTTTTTCTTTCATTTTATGCTTCATAGATCACATAGCTGTACCTCTAGCAACTTTCAGGAACCAGATTTTAACTGTTAAGTGGCTCTAAAGGCACATAAATGATGCAAACAAAACCTCAAAATTTAAGTTCTCCACATTTTTGTTATGTGGAGTGAGTTACTACTAATGTGTAGCATGTACATGCACTTTGTGCATGGAGAGACTGCTTTAAAATCATATTGTTACTATATAGTCTAGCATGAGCTAACTGGTGGTTGTTCTGGACAGCCTACATTCTGCTTATTAAGATAATATTAATTTTCAGAATGATAGGTGGGGGTTTTTCTGGTCTTATTGTGCTAGCACGTCTTCTGGAGAATATCCACATTCATGCATCTACATTTGCAGACAGAAGTGCAGCCCTGAAGGCTGAGGATGATGCTCCCTGACCAATTATTACAATTAAATCAGAGCATAAATACATGACTCCAGAAAGGAGCGAGTGCTTCCTTCTATATTGCAAGCAGTGTATCTAAAAGGTATCACTAAACCTGGTTATAGAAGAATGCAATTCATCCTCTGGTCTGCAGAAATGTGTAATTAATAGACATGCTCTTATATCTGAACATATCGAAATCTGTCAGCATACTGTACTTGCCAAATTGTTTAGTTTTGTGTACTTAAACCCACAGTAAATTAAGCTATTGCAAAACCTGTGAGAACTTTGCCAAGCATATCATTATAGGACTGGGAAATTGATGAGATACAGTAAACAAGGGAAAAATAGACTGGCTTCTGTTGCTTCTCAGAAACTTTCAGAGAAAGGTGACATGAATAGAGCCATTACCACCACCATTGTTTTTTGAACAAGTAATCAACAAACCAATGCAAGCACAAAATAAAATCCAAGAACTAGCAGTAAGACTCTCTTAAGTGCTGAACCCCATCATGCAGCTGCAAAAGGTATGTCAGCAGAGTCCAAAATCCATGCCTGTTGTTGGAGTCACTCTTGCCCCCTTGTTTCCTGGTTTTAATGTGATAATTCCCAAAATGATGGGGCAGAATTCTGTCAAGTTATTTCCAGTGAAGGGATGCATCTGTAAAATACCAAAGACCTGAGGAGATGTCTCAATTCCTGCCAGGAATTTTGGTCTCCATTGTCTTCCAGCTTGCTTTCCTATTAGTCTGTCATATAATTTCTTTCCACATTTGTAAGGTCTCTCCTCATCGATGTTAAGATTTATGCAGACTCTTCTGTCAAGAAAAGAATTAATAAGATAGTTTTTGAGTCCTACCCACCTTCCTGTAGCCAAACACTAATCAACAGGCTGAGCAACAAATCACTGATAAATTTTTAGCCCGTTATATTTAGCCAGACAGTTATTACCCAGCATGCAGAAAACAGGGCCTGGATCATAAAAAAACACATATTAAGGGGTAGTTAAACTGAGAGATGGCAATGATTTTTATTTGGTTCACAAATAAATTTTCCTTTTGCACAGATGTACTTGGTTTGACACCACCAACATATTAGGACACTGAAAAGAATAAGTCTGCATATTAAAATGTTTTCAAATTCTTTAAAAATGTATATGGCTGAAAATGGCAACTAATTTCTCTACAGTTCAAAAGTTAATGCATTTTAAATTTAGTTGCCTAATTTTGTATATAAAATAAGAAAGGGCAGAATGACCTTTTTGACTGTCAGGTATAAAGATCATTATGTTCAGCCTGATTTCTACCAGCTGTTGTTTGGTTTTGGTTTTATTCTGCTGAGTCAAACAGCCTCATATCCTCTCACTGTTGAAATGTAGGAGACTTCAGTGGCAGCAGGACCAGACCCTTCATTATTGATGCTGTCTTCAGGAATTCAGAAAGTAAAACTTTTGAAATGTTCAGATTCTGTTGGAGATATAACCTTTGGGAAAAGTTTTTTTCTATCATAAATATTAATCACAATGTAGTGATTGGTTTATAATGTTCAACAGATGGGCTTTAAATGGCTGAAAGGAATCTGCTGTTATCAGTTCTGAACAACTAATTGCTGCCCATATTAGAGCATTTACTTTGTTTTATGGTAATCAGGTTTTAATGCTCTAGCATTGGAGGTCCTGTGGTGCATTTCCACACAGTAAAAGAATTTTGCCATTGCCACACAGAAGCTCAGCCCTGGCTGCTGTTAGCAAGTTGGTGCCTGTGTATCGGGTATCCCTGCAATAGAGACTTGATTTCTTCTACTGCTTCTGCAAGCTACATTCCTTGAGGGACCTAAAATGTTGCTAGTGGCTTGGTGAAGGGTTCTCACAAAGGATCCTTTGCCATGTGGGCTTGAAAACCCCTTGTGCTCTGTGGCGGGAAGTGCTGGAGGATGATGAGTTCAGCTAACAATAGAAACCTTGGGGAAGCTTGATTCTCCATTCAGAGATAAGCCTGTTCCCCCTGCTGTAACCCAATCAGGAGCCAAGGCAACTTCTCTCAAGGACAGACTTCTACCAACAACCCTTGTCAGAACAGTTCAAATTTATATCACCAAGTTAAAAGGAGCAAATCCTGATATCATACAAGTTATAATGTAGAGAAAACCTTGATTTTTACAGAGGGTTTGTTTCCATGCTGCTTCTCTACTTTTTTTTTCTTTAAATCTCTATATGATGTACCAAGATAGCAGTGAATAATTTAACTTGAAACCCAGACCTTATCTCCTGTATTGGCATATGTGGAAATCACATCCTCACCAGTGTTGTGTGTAAACTCCTAAAAATATGAATGTGTTTGACTGTAGAAATCACTTACATGAGGTCAGTAACGGAGTCAGTAAACTCTATGTGCAAGTTCAGTGTCCCGGTCTGTTGCAATTACTATTCATGGAAATATTCAGCAATGTCTATATTCCCATCTTGGGTCAGCAGTTTCCTTCCAAATCTGGCTAACTCAAAGCTATCAAAACAAAGACTGGCAAATTCAGGAGTTTTCTTCAAAATAAGCACTCTGCTAATCAGTCTGTGAAGTTGTTTTGTTGGGGTTTTTGGGGGATTTTTTGTGTGTGTGTGTTTTTTTTCTTTGACTTACAGTACTGAAGTATGAACTCACACACGTTGCTTTTATTAAATAATTGATTTCCTTTAGTTTCCTTTATGGCTATGTATGCCTGTATATATAGGCATGTGTGCGTGTGTACGTATCAGCAGATGGCTCTAGCTATAAAGTGGTAGCAATGTTTAGTGCTAACAGTTTTAAGCAGTGATTCATCAGCTGAACAGGAAGATTTTCAAGTAAGAATTCTTTCAAAATCATCTCTCTAGATCCAAGAAACTGTAGTTCCTCTTACTGGCTCCTGTGTTCATGGCGAGGATAAAATGTCTGGGTATAAAATACAAAGGAATATAAAATGCTACTTTCATCTTGAAACATACTATATGAATAAAAGATGCCCAAGATGAAGTTATGTAAACATAACATACTAGATCTATGAATCATTTGACCAATATCTTCTTACGCATACTTTGTCACATGTGAAGTTATTTTCACAATGCCTAACATACTAGCTGTAGTGTCACAGATATGGCAATGTACACACAAGCTCCAATGAGAAATAAGAATGTAATTTAAGGGTATATAACAAGGGCATGAATTGAAACAAAGAGGAGAAATCAGTTTACTAACATGCTGTATGTGTTTTTTCACATGAGTCAGGTTATACCTCTGGGACTCAAAGTCTGCAAACCATCTGTTCAGCTTCTCCTTTGTAGAGTTTAAGTACTTGGTTACACAAAAAGCTCTGTGGTTTTTGTGGTTCTTTGTTTTTTGCCTTAAATATCCTAATGTCTTATGACATATTTAGATAACTGTCACTTCCATCATGGTGTCATAGATTTTCCCAAGGAAAGTGGTGAAAGCTTCAGATTTTGAATCATTTAAGTCTGAGTAGGGGGCTCAGCCAAAAAAAAAGAAAAAACTTTAGACAAGTTGATGTTCAGTTTCATCCAGCATCCTCCTGCTGCTGGTTGGTCCTGTGACTCTGCCACAATGAATTATGCTGCCATCCAAATGAATATAAGAAATTGTATGACTCTTAAAGGAGGCACCACCTCCTTGGCTGGAGTAGACACATGAGGTTGCACATTTTTAATATTCCTCTGGGATAAAGCATTATTGAGTAACTGGGTAGATACCTTATTTATTTATTTATTTAAATTATTTTTAAGCAGGAGTAAATAATGTCCTGCTTAATTTTAAAGTGAGAAACAGGTCTGTGCAGCTCTAGAAACTGTATCTGAGGGGATTTAACAATGACTGTTAAGAAGCTTCCTTTGAGTATTACAACTGACATACTTGACTGTAGATGCCATCACTGGCTTGCGTGGGGCTGATGCCAGCACTTTTTGTACCTGATCTGCATTTTATTGCTATCCATAACTCCTGTTCCTCTCTTTCATCCCTGAAAGCTAACATATGCTAATATTTAATTTCTGTCAGTGCTTGCTCTACCACAGAAAACAGCATAGGTAAAAGAAATCGCTGAACCATTAACTGAATGCTAGCCTTGTAGGAATGGAAACTCTTTTTGTCCCTTTCAAAAGGAAGATGGAGTACAAAATACAGCATGTTTCCTATAGTTGTATCTCCATATGCGCTAGCTGCATTTATGGGTAAAAGAAAAACATAAAGAAACTTCTATAGTAGCGATAGTTCACATACTCTTTAGAAATACAAGCTAGTGCCCCAACTTATAGTTTTATGTACTCCTTAATTGTACAAAGCGCAATTTGTAAATGTAATAGGTAAAGGTTGCATTTGTGAGAGAACTAGAATTTCAGAGGTCAATGGGGTCTGCAAGCTTTTTATTAATTTTTCTTCTTTCAGAACCAGAAGTGTAGAACACAGCTCTGGATGGGGCTTTAAGTCACACTTTTTCACTCGTATGAAAGTAAGGAGATGCTAATAAAGTGCATGCTCATTATCCTCATTAACACTAGCCCGAATAATTTAGGAAGGATGGTTCATGCCTAATACACATCAAATAGCCTTTGTCAAAGCCTTTGGCATATTGATGGTTAGAGAACATACACTAACAGAATCCTTTGCAATGAAGAATGCCCTAGTGATAGGTGTTAGCTTGCTGTCAGTTTAAAATGCCAAAAATTTATTACTGTGAATGTAGGAAAGAAAGCCATTTTCAATGATAATTACTGTTGAAATAACTAAAATGATGAATGTTTAAAGCAGCATTCTGCAAAACACTTCGCAAAACATTTACATTCCTATTTAAATAAAGATAAACACACATTTTTTTAACATTTTATTTTCAATAATTCCTTTAGACTTTAAGTTTCCCAGAGAAACATCCCAAATCTAGGTAAGTTTTCTTCCTAAATTTTATTTAGAAGAAGAGAGGGATCGTTTCACACTATGCTGGACTTAACCTTATCCATGTACAAGGAAGAAATACGTTGTCTGGGTCAATGAATATCTGCAGTGTCAGGAAACGTATTGGAGAGATTATTTTCTTCTGAAAGTGATGTCCTGAGCTTCATGTTTCTGACAGTACATTTTATTCAGATAGGTCCCTCTCAGAAATCGGTATGGAAAGCATACTGAGTGGTCACAGAGGGAAACTACACTGTTATTGAAGCAGGTTCTCAGTCTTGGACAGATTGGTGTCATGATTTATTTTTACATGCAAAAGGTTGAGTGTGCTGTCTAATGTTCTCTAGAGATTATTTCAAGCTTTAAGGTTAGATGTTTGATGCACACTATTTTCTAAGCTAAATGTAGGGCAGTTTAAGACAAATTTAACAAGAACAGAAGAATATTAAAGCTCTTGATCAAGTACCTGAAAGGCAATAATAGTTTGGAACATGTTTCTTTGTTCACTCTAGTGGTAATTCTTCTCTAATTCAGGCAGTGAACACATTTGCACTTAGGTGTGGTGGAAAAGATACGGCATATATATGTGTGGGATGTCTGGCCAAGGCATATAGCCTGAAAATACTGGTAACAGTCAGGCTTCTCAAGGCACTTCTGTGCTCAGGTTATAATGGATAGCCCTCTCTCCTATTCCAGCTCTTGGGAAGATGCTGCCATGCCAAATCACTGTGGTGCCAAAGACCCTTTAGTAGCTCAGTGCAAAGTGGGTGGATAGTCACAGGAGACATAGCTCATACTAAAGAATTATTTTACTCATGACTGTGGCAGTGCTTGAACTTCCACCATCAGATCCTGGCCCTGCTGACATTAGTGAGGCTTTACTGTGGACTTCAACAGAACCAGGGCATCACCTCAGGTCTCCAGATGTGAAAGGTTAATGCATTAACCCACTGCAGCATTTAGCTCCTCAGGCTTGATACCTATTTCAATATACTTTAGTGTAAGTCTGTAAATATGACATTCAGGGGTGGTTCCCAAGAGAACTGGGTACATCAGAAACAGTGCTAGCGTGAATAATGCATACCACAAGGATTTGTGACTGTCAAAAGGGAGATATGACTTATCCAAAGCTTGTGTTTGAGGCAGTACTCTAGGAATTGTAAGTTGACAGAGCCTTTAAGAATTTCTATATGCAAAAAACATTTTTGTATGATGGTGGTATCTGGAGTCCCCAGTAGATAACCTGGGACCCATTGTGCCAGGCACTGTACAAATAGAGTCTTTCTCCATAAAGCTTGCAATATAAGCTCATAAAATGCATAAAGTGTTGGATAATGAAGTGGTGTTGTTATTGTTTTACAAATTGGGGCATAGAAAGTTTAAGTGATTGGCCCAGGAGCACACAGGATGTCTGTGGCAGAACTATCGTTCGAATACAGGTTATCAACTTCCTCAATCCAATTCCTTGATAAGTGCTTAAAAAGCATAATCAAAGATAACCTCACACAAAACCCTGCACCAATACCAGAAGTAAAAATAAACCTAGTAGTTCTTCTAATAGCATTGTGGTTATCCCTTGAAACTATTAATACATCTGGAACTTAAAGTGATACATTTATGCTTGCTTTTGTAACTTAAGTTTCTGCTGAGAGCAGAGGAGCAGGGAGAAAGAGGGAGTTCTTTCGGTGAAACCAAATGGAAGTTATAATACACTGTTTCATTGACTGGTTATCCCACAAATGTCTAAGTTTTATAGGAGACACAGTACTATGCTAATGCAGTAGAAAAGTGTAAGATCTTGTGTGCATTCAAGTGATGCACATCTAAACCAACTAAAATGAGAGTTCAGCTTGGACCGACCTGTTCTCAGTGAGCTATTTTCATTAGAGTGTGCATGTGGCAAACTGCACCTCTTTTTGCACATCAAAGTCCCAGGTCTGTCTCTGTGCCAAGGAACCACCAAATGAAGCTCTTTTTCATAGCTTTTGGGAAGCTTCAGCACTTAAGGGATGTAACTTTTCTTTTTAAGATTGTTAAACAATTTCTAGTTTGTAGTTTCTGCAGGGTCCTGTTGGTTCCCTGCTTCCCAAGGTGCAGAAAAAAAAAAAAAAAGGAAGAAATTAACAACTATTCCACTGCCTTCTGTCAGTGTAAATTGTGGAAACAGGTGCACGTCCAATCTTATTCAACTTGCATAGCTACTGTGAAGATTAAAAACTTATACTTTCCTGTGAAACTTTTTTATCCATTAGCATTTCAATAACAGAGGGTTTTAAAGACATTTTTGCAGCCAAGATAATATGAATTTATGTTTTAGATCATTGACTTTGCTTATTTAAAACTTTTTCTTTCCTCAAATAATTTCAGTTCCAACTTTCCTTCTTTCTTCCCCCCCCCCCTTTTTTCCTTTGAAAAAGAGCATACAAATGAAAAATCTAAAAAACTTTTTAAAATAGCAAAAAGTTGACTGTAAAATCATGTGACTCACCTAGGCTGTTTTTAAAGTCTGAAAATATGCTTTTCTATGTTTCACTGAACTCTTTCGATCTCAGGATGACAAGTCTCTCCAACAGAACTCATTGACAATTGTTTGGCTTTGTAGCTACAACAATGACTAAATAAAACCACTGAGAAGTTGAACACATTTCTTAGCATTACAAAATTCAAAACAGCTAACAAAAAGTTTACAAGATGATCCAATTTTGCAAACCTTTGCATTTGCCTCCAGCAAAACTAATCACTTAAGACCGACAAGCAGAGAAAGCTACAGACTAATGGGAAGCCTGAAAAAGTCAATTCGCATTTCATCAACAGTAGGTCACTACCTAAACGAGGGCTTCAAAGACACCTAAAATTTAGAGTAGACACTCTGAAGTGTATTAAAAAGTTCAAAGGCTAGTAATATAACATACTGCATCTTTGCTGAACTACTATGAGTGGCTGAAAAGCTGTTATTTTAGAAGTCTTCAGTGCAGCTGGTTGTGTGACGCTAATATTTGAGGAAGAACTTTGATTACCAAGTGATTATAAAACTGACAGGTTTATCAATTGCAGTAATATGAAATGCAGTTTAAATTCACATTCTCAGAATTATAGGATCTCAAGTATGAAAACCTCCCCCAATTAAATTATTATATTCTAAAATTCAATTGACATACCAAAAGATCAGTTCAATAGTTGCCTCTGAATGGGTCTCACACACCAAGTTTCCAACTTCCAGCTGCAAAGCTCTTTGTTCACTAGACAAAGACAGAAAAGGTACAGACGTACATCAGATGCAGTCCTGGCCTGAAAAATCAAGTTATTCTGCAAATTATGTTCCCTTGCTCCAGAAACCTGATCACTGTGTAGATAGCTATACTTGTCTTCTATGAGAAAATCAATTCTTACTACCCTTTAATCTTGCTCACCCTGCAAAGCCAAGTCAGTGATCTGAAAGGGAGTTCAGGCTTTCTGCATCATCCATGCAACTGTTTTCTCATTTCCATCTGTCCATGCCAGCCATGGGTGCTAATAACATTGTAAAGGTGTTAATTATGGCCTTGTTTGGCCTTTGAAATACTGACTAACAGTAGCAATAAAAAGGAATGGCAAACATTCAGCAAAATCTGCAGAGCTGACAGGGAAAAGGACATTTTTTACTGGGTAGGTCAGCACTTAAAATTAACAGAGACAGTGCACTGGGATCCTGCAGCACCATTTTTGCAAAGGTGGGAGCAGAGCTCTGCTTTATGTGACTTGCTCAGGATGAGAGAGGAAATATCTGGTAGCTCAGTCTCCAGACATTCACTGCAGTAATGTTTCAGTTATCTTCCCTGAATTGTAATTCTGCTCCGGAAGGAGAAACTGGATATTTAGAGGGTGTCTTGACTTGGTTCTCACAGTAAGGTCTGTGCAAATTCCTAAATGTCCTAAGATTTTCACCTGTAGCTTCCTTACAAATCCAAGAAACTGTGGTTATTTGTTTCTCTTGCTTTAGCTCAAGATATAAATTAGGCTTAAAGGAGATCCTCAGGAGTGTTTAAGTGAAAAAGTGTGTTAGTGAATTTGGATAGGAATTTGAGCAACTTGCTGTGATGCTTTGCAAAATCCAGGTATACAATTCAGACTGAAACCTTTTTCTCAGAAAAAGCTAATCAGACCTCTGAGAACTTGACACTAGGCCAAAGTAGATGGAATATTTTTAGCTAGCTTACAATTGCATAATTTGCAATAGTCTTTTGACTTGCTGTCTTGGAACTTGCAACCATGTGTCTTGTTTTAGTGCAGAATCGATAGTCGATGATTAGTAAATCCAGTAGATATCAACACAGCTTGAAAATGAAGTTCACAGTGCATTCACTGCTCAACTGCCAAAAAAAATTCAAATGCATGTTCTCTTCTCTCAGATGAAAAGAAAATGGCTAGGGTTACTGGCTGGCTCTGTGAAGCACGTGGAGTACTGTAGTTTACTGTGTGATAATCATTGCTTCAGAACCTGTTTTCAATTACCAGCAAGTCCCAAGTCTGCTGCTGCTCTGTCCCAGACATTTAGTGCATGAATAACATGTTACATTGCATAACATAGAATGAAAGCTAAACCCAGCTCTCTGAAAGGACAGGTAATTTCCCAAACACTATTTGTCACCTTACCTGTGAGAAAACTCTCTTATTCTGAGAATTTAAGTGTTGAGATTGCCTCCAACTTGAAGTCATTGGGCTCTGTTTTATTAATATGGCCTATGTGATGCTTATCTCTACCATTTGTTTTTCTTAATTTACATGCATTAAAGCATTGCCGAGAGGCTTGAGACATGTGGAGGATGCTTTCAGAAGGACAAACATTAAGAGGAACAAGAGTTCATTCCTTGCCTTAAATAGGCAACCAAATTCGTCAAAGTTATACCTATGGAAGTGAATTTCCAAACTGTATAAATGAAAGAGTAGCTGCCTAAGCAGAAAGGAAGGCAATAATGACTGTGAGAAGTATGAACCATAGAAGTGGCTGGGAAAGATGTTTAAAAATGTTGGGGGAAGTGATTCAGTGATTAATAGCAGAGTTTTGGGGTTTTTTTGGTGGCACTTTTTTTTTCTCCTAAATAACCAATATGCTGTTTGGGAGTCTGAGGCATAATTCAGTTACATGTTCTGACATGTCAACTACACTAGTCTGCTTGTGAGTACTCCATCCAGTTGCTCTAACCCTTCTGTGACTGCAAGATCACATGAATTACTAGAAGCTAAATGACATTATCTTGCAACTGAGGGGGACAAAGGTTTTGCATGTGACTTGTTACTACAATTCAGCTGCTCTTACCTGTTTCATAACTGTAACTTAGCCAAGCCTTAGAGGACAAGAAAATACAGAACTCTTTGGAATGCATGTACAAAAAAAAAGTGGTGACCATCCAGGGAATGAAGACTAGTTTTCATATTCTCCTCTTCCTACATGTTGATTCTGATATTGCAAACTGTATTGCAAATCTGAATCCCTCCTAAGTACAGCTCTTATTCTGTGTTATAGTACAATTGCTTGCTGTTCACACAACCTCCATGTTTCTATTTCCCACTAGTTCTTCCTCTGTAAGAATTGTTTGAGGTGGGGATGGATGGGGCCATTCTAGCTGGGACTATTTCATTCATCATGCCAGCATGTATGCTGGCAACAACCAACTAGTATATATAACAGTGAGATGACTGGTATTGCTAATCTAAGTATTTCTGCTTTCTTTTCTGGATAACTTTGGATGTAAGGAGTGCTTAGGCTTTGACGAATTTTGGCAGCAGCTATAAATCGACTTCATTTAATACCCAGTATTTCCCTAAGGCATTTGCTTTCAAAGGTTCTTAGGCTCCTTTCTCTACTTTTGGTAGATTTCCAGCTTTTATGTCCTTGCAATAAAATGGAAATAACACAGTTGGGTCTATATAAATGGCCATATAATAATAACATATCAGTGGAAACTTTGCTAGAAGAGGACCCCATAAAATGTAGTTGTAACAGCTCAGGCAGAACGTATGAGACAGAACAAACAAGTACAGCAAGACCAAGAATATTCTTCACTTCAGATGTGAATGTTTGCAACTGGACCCAGTCTACGTCTGCACAAACCAACTGAAGCAGTTGAAAAATTATATACACACAGCCCACGCACTGAGCTAAAATCTGATGTATAGTGTACTGCATAGCATCCCAAAGTAGGTTAGAGAGAATGCAGAGTGATTTATATAGCAGAAGTTACAGGCGGAGGCAATAAAATGAAAATATTTAATGTTTCCAAGAAGAATCTAAGGCTGGCTGTGGCAGGTAATAAGTTGATTATTAGGCATCACAGTACTGGCAGATGGCAATCAAAATCTCTTTGAGCTAATAAGTTTACCTTTATATTTGTAAAGACAGTTAAGGTAAAACGGAAGAAAATTCAGCACTCTCTCTTCTTGGGGATTAGAGTCAGTTATTTCTGAATTAATAGGGTATTAGACAAGTATGAACACACTATAATGGATTCAGATATTTCCAATTGACTATTTGTCAGAAACTTCTAAAATTGAGGTATATGCATAACATTACCTTTAGGAAATAGTGGTACTGTTTAACCATAAATAAAATACATGAGCTTTTCTTTAACTCAAATAAGAGACATTTTTCTAGCACCTGGAAAAAAAATACAACAGATGGTTTCCATTTACAAAAGAAAAGTGGTGACCAAAATTAATATAGCCTACTTTATACCTATTATATTATACACATATATAATATGTATAGTAAACACCACTGAAAATTCTTCAGCCTTGGAATAATAGAATGTTTTTAATAAACATGGAGTAAATGACTGACTAAATAAATTTTTCTTTCCAGTCTAAACTGGAATTTATAATTACTGTAAGACTTATGAACTGAATAAGATAACTGTTTCTATGCACCAGTTTATAGTTCTCTTAAGATGAAACATTACCATTGAAGTTTAGGGCAAAATTCTTGTATGTGTGCAAGAGTTTACTTTCAGATAGTATCTTCCTATCTCACAGAATTCCTTGTCATAGCTCTGCTTGCTGTTACTATTTTCACCAAAGGAAGAAAGCAGAGTCTAGTAGCTCCTGTGTAAGTTCATTTGAAGAAGAAGTAGCAACTGTCCAAAAAAAAAAAAAAAGTAGTTTCCATTTAAGCAGAAAGGATATTGATTTTTTCAATGTTGTGGATAATTAGCATGTTGGCAAAATTACAGAAAAAGACATCTTCAAAGGGCTTTTCTTAGTTTCAGTGTGATATGTTCCTTCTGGCAATGGTGGTGGTAGGAAATCCTTGGTTTCTTACATTTCCGTTCCAAGAAGCAGATTTGAGATGAGACTGCATTAGCAAAACAGGTCTGCAATGTGATGAGGTGATTTGCATCCTCCTGGCGCTGCAGAACATGGCATGTACTGACGATACTCCCTTGTTCTGTTGGTTTTGCTAGGATGCACGTATAAGATTTAAGGGCAAAAGATAATACACTGCTCCCAGTCCTAGTATGTGTCCCAGCATTGATATGAAATAAATTTGAGAAGGTTATGGGCTGCAGTTGCATCTCAGGCTCAGGAAGGCTATAAAAGATAAAGGCCTCACCTTTTAACACTGGGGCAGGATAGAGAAGCACATTACTTCCAAGCAGAACCAACTCAGTCCTTCTATATCAGTGCGCCCAGGTGGTTAAGGGCAATAGCATCCTGCCTTGTATCAGAAATAGGATCGCCAGCAGGACTATGGAAGTGATTGTCCCCCTGTACATGGCACTGGTGAGACTGGACCTCGAATATTGTGTTCAGTTTTGGGTCCTTCAGTACAATAAAAAAACATTGAAGTGTTAGAGCAGGTCCAAAAAAGGGCAACAAAGCTGATGAAGGGTCCAGAGAACTAATGATAGGACAAAAGGAAATGGCCTCAAGGTGCACCAGGATAGGTTTAGATTGGGTATTAGTAAAAAATTCTTTACTGAAAGTATTGTCAAGCACCGGAACAGGCTGCCCGGGGAAGTGGTTGAGTCACTATCCCTGAAGGTATTTAAAAAATTATGGCAGCTAGGGGCAACGTTGAGTGGTAGACCTGGCAGTACCAGGTTAATGTATGTTTCGAAGATTTCAAGAGTCTTTTCCAATCTAAATGATTCTATGATTACTTATACCAAATTACAGAAAATTATGGTCTTAATCTCTGACTTTTCCTATACTTTTTTTTTGGGGGGGAAAGGCAACTGGCACAGTATTTTCGGTTGTTCACTGAAGCACAAAGTAACTGGGATACTAAAGGAAACCATCTGAAGCATGATTTCTGCCTGTCTTAAAGCTAAAAGAGGTTTGACCAAGACTTGAATTCTTGCCCAACCTGAATAATTCCTAATAGTTCATTTAATCACACTTCCTTTAAGTAGAAATGAAAATCTCTTGGTTATTCAGAGAACATACATTTCTAGTAGAAACTGGATAAAAAGAGGCACTGAAGTTCAGGACAGCCATATTTCATAAACAATAGAGAGACACCATCCCCTCCCCCCCCCTTTTTTCCCCCTTCACAAACAGAAGAGCATAAACTGAAAACCTAGACTGGGAACAAACTGCACAATAAGCAGTTAAGAAGATGCATGGATTAATTTACTTAGCAACTGAAATAAGATCTACTGGGTTTGTCCTACTCTCACCTTAGCCTATACTAGATGATTTGGAAGAAAGTGGAAGCTCAAATAATGCATCTCCAATTCTCTAAATATGCTATATATTGTGAAGGAACTCTTCTGTTTCAAGCAATCCCCAGAAGCAGTTGTGTGACATGTTAACTGGTGTAGGTAAACTAATTCAGTCCTGTGAACATTTATATTCTTTCACATGATGCGTGTCAGGAGTAATTGTACTGGAATAATCTTGTGCTGGTACAATTTCAATCAAGGTGGCATTGAGAATAATTAATTCCAGGATGAAAAAGATGTTAAAGCTGTTGGAACATTTAATAGAAAACGTGACTGCTCTGATCCTGTCAATGCATGGGAATAAGGCCTTAGAGTAACCCTTGTAAGAGCTCAGGTTTTCTTCAGACTTGCTTACATGATATCCAAAACTTTTGGATTTGCTTCTTTAAATCATTAAAAATGTGTTTGACTTAAGAGCTATATCTTGGCTAAATACTCTTATACCTCAAAAGCCATTTTTTTCTTGTTGAGCATAACTAATGTCCCATATTAGCTCCATTCAGACAGCTAAAGACTTACTGGCAGTAGGTTGTCTCTTCTTCATTAAAAATTTCTTGCACAAAAACTGCATGTCTCTAAATCATACTTTTACAATGTTTAAATTTTGTATGAAAGAGACTGTTGCAAGGGCTAGGTCATCTCTATTTTTGGGTATGAACTTAGCAGTCTCCAAACACTAAGCGATACTGGTGTAGTCTAATATGCTCTGGTGTTGGCACACTCAAAATGGTGTTGAAAAATTGGAGTGGAAAAGAGGAAACAAAAAAGAATTAAGGACAAAGAGAGAAAATGTGCTGCAGTGAGGGAATTAAGGAGCTCTAGTTTATTGAAAAGAACACAGATATCATTGAATTACAATATTAAATGTCTTTATGGGGAGAAGAGGGCTTGATAGTAAAAGGGCTCTTCAATCTAGTAGAGAAACATGACAAAAAAACATGGGGCTTAGTTAAAAATGAACTACAAATGTTTGACTGAGAATGACCAACAAGGGGAATAAAAAAGTAGTAACAAAAGAGTCAATTCTCCATCTTTTACTTTCTTCATATTTAAAATTAAATACATTTTGTATCTGCGTACAAGATTTTTTTCTAAAACTCCTAGACTGAATGTAAGCACACTTAAGTTGCTTTTGTTGCTTTTGGGGAAAGTGTAAAAGACCGATGTTTCCTAAATCATTAACGTTTTGTTGTTTTGGTTGTTTTAATTAACAGAAATAAAGCTAACAACCATGGGATGCCTTATCTGCATAATGAACTCCAAGGTACCCCTAATACACTTCATCAGTATCTTGGACCACCTCAGAATAACCTTAAATAGGTAAGGTTTTCAAAATTGCTTTAAGTAATCTGTGTTGTCTATGTTGGTTATAGGTCCTGTTTTTTAAGAGTTAAGATATCACAGCCACTAGCTTTTTTTGTCCCACATTTCTTGAAAAAAGAGATGCCTAGGTGAAAAAATAAACGTCAAGCTGTTGTTCCTTTTTCACCGCAAAACTTAAAAGCTTATAGATTTTTGTCATGAACTTTGCCTAAAGTTTGCCAAGTCTCTAGCACCATTCTTCTAGTCTTCCCAAAAGGCTGTACCAGGCTATACATTTAGTGCAGAACTGCTAATAGTATTTATGCCAGTAATAATGATGTGCTTGTGTATGTTTAGAAGCTCAGTAAAAATTAAATCAGTATCAGACAAAAAAAAAAACACCTAAACCAGCTAACAAACTGGAACTCAGCAGAGACCCTCTGCTAAATAAGGACCTTCCAGCTATCCACTCTTAAGGAATATATACAATGTGAAGCATATGTGAGAATAGGGTTAGACTGAGAAATGTGTCATTATGGCCAGACAAAACACAGGTGTAACAAGTGCTAACTAGCTTAGATGTTTTGATGGCTTGTGTCACACCAGAAGCCCAGGTTTTCTTCTACCAATTTTGGCCAAATTACTCTTCTTTTCAAGTACAAGGATTATTGGCAGGGCTGTATTTCAGTTAAGAGTCTATACATCTGTACTTACATTTGGGGAAAAAGCTAGAGAACTGTAATTCTTTTCCACATTCACTTTCTTAAGCCTGAAGAGTCAACAGATAAAAACATTTTATAGCATACTTTTCCTGTGAGGCTACTACTTGTATAGTCTATACTGAGATAAACTGCATGTTTTTTTAATTTGAAATTTGCAAGATGTGCCATTGTTCCATCAGAACATTTTTTTGCTATAAAGGCCAAAATACATGTTTCTTAAATTTACTTTTCTCACATTTTTATTTTGAACCAGAAACTTTTCAGATCAAAACTTACTTGGAATTAATCCCATACATAACCAATATGTAATCAGCGTTTTATGAGAATGCTATACTCTTAAGAAGGATCTCGAGGATTCAGATTGTTTGATCTCACATAGAAGTTTCATGAGGAAAAAAAATTATGATCAATTTAGACTCTAATGGAAAGAGCAATATCAATAAGGATACAGAAAAGCATGTACCCTTTTCCAATTAAGTTTTAATGCTTAGATATTCATTACCTCTGCAAAATGCTTTAAAAAAATATGTTCTGGGTATTGCAATAGCCTTAGATTGCTGAACAACATTATTGATTAGTTTTAAGACCAATCACTACATAGCATAAAATCAGTCAGTAGTTGCAGTTGCTTTTAAAAAAAATGCATATAACTATATCTACTCATATCTGAATGTAAAATTTAATTCCATTTCTCGTGTTTCTGGCCCATTAACCACTACTGACAGCACACTGCAATACAGTCTGTATTGTCATGTAGCCCCAAGACTCACTGCTGTCGGCACTAGGGACCGGAGGAAGGGAAGAGAGAGAGGGTTTGGGAATTATAGTGCCTCATCTGCTCAGGTCATTCAGTGCCTTGCAAGTTTAATCAGGCTTTCTTCATCCTCCATTACACTCATTAGATCCTGTTAGGCTAGTGCTCAATGTTGATCTGTATCTTGGTCAAGACAATTGTTGCTGATTAACTATAATTACCAGTAATGGTCCCAACCTGCTTTCAAGCAGGCTGTTGCTGTCATCTTGTCCAGGCCCCTGCTCTGCAACGGAGCAGTCCAAATCTGCTAACCATTTGCTTGCTTTCTATTTGAACCAACAAGTTGCTTCTTGTGTGGGCTCATCCCCTCACCCTTGTACTTGCCATCTATAAACATCTGAACTTTGCTTGAGGTATGTAAAAATGTAAAGGTAAAGAAAACAGGAATGACTGGTATGGGGAGGAGTGGGGCAGCAGAAGCAAAGAATTAAAAATAAAATACAAAATAGGCAAATAACAAAGGTTTTCAAAGGCTATGAAGCTCAATGATAACAAAGTAATCTAATATTTTGTGCTTTGCAATCCAAAGTAATAAATTACAAACTAGGGCTCAATCGCAAAATACCTCCTTGTGTGAATAACCCTTGTTTGAGTTGGAACTCCTGTGTATTTCCGTCAGAATATTTTTTTAATAGCTGTCCTTAGAAATGCCTTTCATGTTACAAATGTTCCTAATGGCAATTTTAACTTCTGGATGGTTTTCTGGTTAGTCTTGTGAAGTGTAAGCATATAGAGGCTTTCATAAAAACTGTACGCAATCTTGAGTCAGAATTTATAGTTAATCGTGGTATGAATGCCAAGGTCACATAAATGTTTATGTTCCCCATTCATAGTTGCAAATAATGCCTGTTAAATTTCCAGCTGACTTTAACTACAAATAATTTGGGGAATGAAACTGAACTCTACAGTTATTTATGCCTCTTTTCTGTAGGCATTAAAAGAATTACTATCTTAAAACAAAAACAACAACAAAAATTAAAAGCATTAGCAGAGTCTGGACATAAGGGTAGTAAGTAATGCTACCCAAAGCAGCTAGCATTAACTCTTAAGTGTGCAACGATATCCATAAAGCCCAGAGTTCAGGCATGCACCTGATACTACAGTTTGGGGGCCAAATTCAGTAATTGTACCTAAAGGGCAAATTCTCAGAATCCTTTGGGCAAATGCTCTCTTGGGTATTTGTAAACAAGCCTGTAATTGCATCTTCTGGTGGCAGCTCTCCTGTTAAGACCAGCAGTGTGGAAGGGTGAGCATGAGCTCCTTCAGCCATCGCTGTAAGCTACAAACCACCTCCAGACTCAGAGCTGTATTTAAGATAGCCAAGTCAGTTCCAGAGGCAGGGTGGTAGTAGCATAAGCTAATGGGGCCACATTACTCCCAGGTGAAGGCAGAGTGTGTGTGCATTGGTGTGTACCTGGCAGGTCTGACACAGACAAGAACTGCAGATACCAGAGTTTGATACAGACTGCAGCAGCTCCATTACGTGTACTTCCAAACTGTACTCAGGATTGTAGACCTAGAGTGATCTTCAAAAGAACAATTTAAGGCAAGAAATTTATGAGGAGGGAGGATACAGTGAGGTAGTCTTAGTATTTATATATTTACTCAGCATGTATCTTAAATAAAAATTCTCCTTGAGGAGAAAAGAAAACCTTTTTGTTTGCAAAGTGAAACACTTGAATATTGCATCTGTTCATCCAGCATCAATTGCACTAGGCAGTGCTCTCACTCAAAGCACTGAATAAGGCAGAGAAAATAAAGATTCTTGTGTAATTAAAGACTATATAGTAGCTTGTGCGTATATGTACATATGTGTGTGTGTAAAAGATAAGGAGTTGAATTGGCTGGCAGTTCTAAATGTTGCATTTTCTTACTTACTTAAAACACTGAATTTTACATTCCAAGTAATTATCTTCTAACATATTCAGCATTCACCATGCTACATTTAAAGAAGGGAAAAATATATTGTGTTTGCTCCTTTAGCAGATCTAACTATAGGTACAATTTGACTGAACTTTCTAAGCTACCTGATTTTATTGATACCAGCATGCATCCAGAGGAGGAGTTGCCATTTTTAAAGGTGACTGCATTTTTACCATGAGAATGCCTCTTGCATGTTTCTTCATGTGGCAAGATGTAATGGTAGTCGATACTGTTTTGCAGCTGCTTTCTGTCTCTGCAAAAGAAACCTGTCTTTGAATGCAGCAAACACAAGAAGTTTTTTTGCTTTTTAAATAAACAGCTGCAAAAAAAAATATTTTTCTCTGGCATGTATAATTGCATGCAACAGGTCTGATAAATTGGAGTACACTCATTACCTGCTTAATCCTGGGATGAGCTGGATAGCTTTCTTCTACACAGTTTTCATTGAAACACATGCATCTCAAATTTCATCACAAAAGAATCTTTTAAACTGCACTAAAGGACCTTAAATGTACAATACACACAAGGCTTATCCATATTTCTGTACTGTAGTCATATTTGCATATAGGAATACACACTGCATACACATATGTGTTTCACTTTCAGGAGTATTTATGGTCCTAATGCACATGTACTTTCACAACCTATGTATTTATATTCCTAAATATTTGTGCCTGATCTGTATGTGTTTTATAAATGCAGACATAAAAAACACTACATGCTCTGCGTAGTCTGATTTTTCTGTCAGGTACTTTAATTCTTCATTGAAGTGAATATTTGGCTTTTCAAACTGAGTAAAGTTTTAGGGAAGAAATAATGACGTTTTAACATGAAGAAATTTAAGGGGTACGACAAGAAGTAAGTGTATTCACATTGCTACTGTCAAATGCCAGTTCAAGACTGGCCATATTTTTTTAACCATTGGAAATAGCTGTAAAAAGGATTCTTTTTTTATACACACACACATATATATGTACATATATAAAAAAGGGGTGTGTGTGTATATATATGTATTTTATATATATATATATATATATATATGTATTAATCCCCAAATCACTAACGCTTTTTGCAGTTTATAGAAGGAAATGGAGACTGTTGGCCAGGAAACCATATCCCAGAAAGATCACGTTCTTGTGACAATTTATCATAGAAAAATCCGTGTCTTTCAATTGAGATGTAAAGCTGTGGTCTTGCAGTTTGCGGTCAACAAAGATGCTTGGGGAGCTTTTTGCTATCTCTTGCAAAAAAAAGAGGGTTATTAGCCCCTGAAGTCTTGGTTACATTCCAGTTTTAATAACTATATTTTGCCTACATAATTCCCACTGTAGCTTCAGGTGAATTGTGGAATTTTCTTCACTTCCTGTCATAAACTATTCTGTGGCATTGCTGTGCACTAACAGCTGCTGTGATCCTTTGCTACTGTTCAGTGCTTCTCCCCAAACTTCTGACCCTCTTTATTTAATCTTGAATCATCTTTTGCTGAGTTTGTACCAGTATTTCAAACAGCACATATTACAAACCATTACCAAATGGGAGTTAATACAAAAGCTTAATGTACTATTTTCCAGTTGCATTTTTTTATATCTGTTTGACACACTACACATGGCCTATCAAGGACTTCAGAAATACTAGAAGCAAACAATATGGATTTTAGGGACCCCCACTTCCTCTTTGAGTCTCATCCATTAGTGATAAATGGGGATTAAACAGCAATTAAATGCATTTCAGACAGGCTGCACACATGTAGTGTCATCAGCACTCTTGAACATGAAGCATGTAACTCTCTTTCAGAAGCTGAGGCAGCAGGGCTGAGGCAGGCTGCTATTTCTTTCCCCCTTCTGCGCAGCAAAATAATATTTTAACTGGAATTTTGGTCAAAAGAGATTTAGAATTTTTGCTCTTTTCTGTTCTAGTGTGGGGATCTTTATAACAGAAAAGATGTTTTTTATACTTCTTCTCTAATCATTTATTACTTCATTGACCTGAGGTTTTTATACTTTCTGCTATCCATTTCATCTGATCTTCATAGTTCATATGTGTTCTTGTTTTTATTTAATCGCCAGAGCAGTATCTTTTTTCTGGTTAGAATTGACTGACAGTGGAATATTCTGGCTAAGAGCTATAGAATCAAACCGCAGACTGAGACACTGTACAGACTGTACATCCTCGGAGTCTGCCAGCAGACCATTCCTTGCAAAATATTACCAAGTCTGACTATGAATTCTGGAATAACACTTTCTTGGCTATTTGTAAAGACAGTGTGGAGTATCGTTAGTAGGTTTACATTTCTTGCCAAAAACACATAATCTGATGCTTGTGTTGATACATGAAAAACCTTGCTACAATTGTCTTGCTTTCATTCATTAGCATACTCTGTGTTTGTACTTCCTCTGGGGCCTCGTTGTTTCCTATTTGATGAAGTAGGAAGGATTGAAAATCACAAGTGCTTTCCACTGATGCATTCCTCCCAGTGGCAGTGCATGGGTGCTGCCTTCTGGGTGGTTGACTTGTCACTTGTCCTTCCCTTCTAACAGCACTTGTGTGAGCTGTACCTGCATGAGATAGGATTCCCACGCCCATCCTCTGGAGGCACAGTAATAAACATGAGTGGATTCTGCCCATAGCTAGTTTTGCAGGGGGTGGTGTGTTGGGAGAGCTGTTGTGGGGTAATCAGCTGGGCTGGTGCTCAGGACAAGCCCCAGAAGGACAGGGTGGCAGCAGCCAAGAGTCTCTTAGGTGGTAGTTCACAAGCTGTAAGGCTTGCCCATTTGTTTGCAAGGCAGTTTTACATACAAGTAATTTCATGTGAATTAACTTTGTACCATTCTCAAAGCAGTGCAGAGATGGAAAGCTCTGTAAACCTGTAACTGTGCTATTGCCCTATGTCATCAAAAATGTGCAAAATGGACTAAACTACACAAAAAAAAAAGTGAAAAAACTTGAATTACATGTTAAGAGGTCTTATTTCCTTATTTTTATCCCTAAATAAATACTATTGAGACTGGCTTTTAGCCATTAGTTTGAAGGACTTATCATTGCTGCCATTTGACCCAGCAAATAAGTTGCAAGTAAGTAATTTGTCCTGTAAAGGAAAAGAAAGAAACTGTTTTGTAAAAAATAAGCTAGCACTAGAGGAAAGCTGTGAGAAGTGTATTACTCCACTCTTTGAACTCAGTCCTGCTGCTACAGAGGTCAATGGAAAAAATCCCCTCCCCTTCCCTGGCAGTAGGCTATACTTAAATATTTATCTTCTGCTGAAATAGTAGACTTCACATTATTTCTGTCAATGTGCCGAGGTGATTTTGTTCCTAGTCTGAGTGTGTTTTTTGGGGGGAGGTATTTTTTGTTATTATTTTGTGTACCCCCATGCTTACTTGCGGTGTTGTTACAACCGCATGTTGTATCTTGTGCGCCGGAGAGGAAGTTGAAAGCTCGTTTCTGAACCCCGGCCCGTGTGTCAGAAGCCGGGGCCTCCGCTGCCGGGGCAGTGGCCGTCCTCTCCCCCTCAGACCAAGTTGCCCGGCCCGGCCCGGCCCTGCCCTGCCCTGCCCGCGGCGGGTGCCATTTCCCCACATTCAGCAAGCGGGTGCTGCCATCTAGCGCCATGGGCCGGGCTGTGCCCCGGGGGGCACCGCCGCTCCGGAGCCGGCGGGAGTCAATAGCCGCCGAACTTGGGAGCGAGCGACCGCGGTGCTCGAGTTGCGGCGCGGCCTCGGCAGCCGATGCGCGGCCTCCCATAGCTACGCCCCGAGGGGGGCGCCCACCTGCCGGCGGGCCGGCCTCCGTGACAGCCTTGCTCAAGCCCGGCCCCCCTGGCCAGCCGGGCCCTAATGGTCGCCCGGGTCCCCGTCGTCCAAGTGGGTTGGGACCGGAGAAATCGGCTTTTCCCCGCCGCCCCAGCCGTACGTCAGAAGCGGAGCTGTGCCGCGGGGAGGGCTGGCTCAGGGCGGCGTTGGCAAAGAGGGGTCGCTCCCTGAAAGTACCTGTTAAAGGCTTGTCCTCTGTGCGGAGGGTGAACCCGCAAGGCTCTGTTAATTATATTTTCATTTTGGTAGGGTGGCCCTGGTTTATTTGTGTGTTGGATTTTCAAATTCTACTTTGCTTTTGATTTTCAAAAGTTTTTGTCGAAGTAGTATTGGTGTGACTCTCGGATATTTACGATACCAAAAAAGAAAGGAAGAAAATTTGATATAAATAGACACATTTTGTTGTTTGCTTTTTTAGGGTGGGGAAGTGGAATTTAGTTTAAGTTTGATTTAGAAACTCTACTGCAGTTTTCCCAAGCCAGATCCTGAGCCAGGGTGCTCCCAGCAATGACAACCATAACCTTGGTATAACTGAGCCAAAAAGAGAAGTGTTTTCCCCTTAGTCAAAGTGAATGACATACATGAAGGTACCTGAAAACTAAGTAACTTCGGCATTAGTTTTGTGCATCAGAATCAGTTTAAGAATCAGAATGTGAGTCTTAAGTATATTCTCTAGTTTTTATACACGTATAACTACCATCACACTACTGATGAAACTGCAAGTATGCTTCACTTGGCAGTGCTGTGTCTTAATCTTGCAGTAATATTTTTGTCTGGATAAGGGCCTCTGATTGCTGTGAAAAGGCTTTTTTTTTTTTTTTTGGGAAAAAATAAATATTTTCGCAGATCCATGCAGATCCCAGATCCTTTAATATCCTGCTCTCCTAGATCTCCAATAAGAACTGAGAAGAGTTTTTGCCCTTGATACTTAAAGCAAAAAAAAAACATTCTTCCCATTATAAACATTGAAGTACATTTTCCCCCTTTTATGAAATGGGACTTTAAAGCTGGGAAATAGGTGGCACTTTGAATACTTTGTAGCATGGTATTGTGAGGGTTGAGAAACCAGTTTCAACAGGCTCGTTTCAAGTATTCCTCTTTAAGTTTGAAATCTAGTGTGGGGTGTTTTTGTGAAATTTCAGAACAGTACTCTGATCTCATCGTGCTCTCTTCTCCCTCCTTTCCAGCTTGTATGCTGGGGAGCAGATAGACAAGAAACCAGGGATGGTCAAAGAAGGAAGCTTTTGGAGAGAAGAGGCATCACCTGGGGTAAGTGAGGGGCAATGCTGGGGGAAGGATTGAATCAGCATGACACAGATGTGTCTGCTTGGAAACCACAGCAAGATCTTCCCACTGCACTGTGTGAGCCTCTTAAAAGCAAAATCCAGACAGACTCTGTCTCTCTATAAATCTTTCCCCCCTTTCCATTACGGGTTGGGTATTGCTGGCTCTAAGCCACCTGATTTTACTATGATTTATTAACTGCTATGCATTATATATGAGATTCAGGTTTACTGAAGAGTTACCCTTATGGTCAATGTTGCATACAAATCAGCTACTGTTAGAGAGGTTTATTGCATCTTTTTATGCGGCTAGGAGTTTTGTTAGGTAGTATTAGAATCTGTGCTTGTAAAACAATACCTAAAAGAAAACAAAATCTTAATCTGTATTTCACATGGTGCATGTAGTACATGAAGTGCATCATATAGCCCTGTTTGCGTTGTGATCATTCCTAAAAACCTGAGTACTTTAGGGGTGGGGACAGGACAAACTGATTTTTTACAAACTTCCTAATGTACATGTAGAGTTAGATAAACTGGTGTTTTGTACCAAAAGAGAAATGTGAATGCATGCACTAGGTGGGAAAATGTTAATTTGTATGGAAATACTACCTGTGAAAGCATCTGTGATTTAAATGATAATATAACACATTGGAGAGGTGCTGCTGCCTCAAGAAGTTATGCTGTTATGAATTGCTTACTGCTGTTCTTTCTCACATTACTTGGTGGAAGCTCTGCAGGAGAGCCTTTGATCATACCCTTGACTCTGATTATTGCAGTGATGACCAGTGTCTCTATTTATAGCATCTTTGCTTTTCATTACATACAGATTAGATGTGCTCTAAAGATGAACAAACCTGGAGAGAGAAAAAAGAAAAAAAAAATTGATTTAACACTCACCATAAAATAATTTAAAAAATGGGACTGTTTTTCAACATTTTAGGAATTTGAGGCAAAGGGGGAGGGGGAAGGGCAGGAAGAAAAAAGAGTTTGGTTTTCTTTTTTTTTTTTGTTTTTTAAATAAAATAATAATTAAGTTGCAGAGGCAGAAGTGACCATAAGGATGTGAAAAAGACATGGGGAGGATAAAAGGTAGAATATGGGGTTTCACAGTGTCTGAAATTTTGCTGTTATATTCAAACCACAGGCATCGCAGTCTGTTTTAGACTGACCTATGTTACAGAGTGTTTGTGAAGAAACGAGTTATTGTTAGGTAGAAGCACTAAGTACCGAACTAGAATTAAGCAAGTATTTCTGATTTTGTTTCCTTGTGAAAGCCACTCTCAAGAAACTATTGAAAAGTTTATGGACATTATCCTTTTATGTAAGTTTTCTTTATATTACATTCTATTATTTTTATATTTAGTAGTGGGGAAAAAAAGGAAAGAATTAGTGACTTGGATTAACTTTTTACCAAATTACATTGCAAATTTAGACGCTGTTCCTAGAAGGCAGTTTATAGAGAGCATGTTATGAGAATACAAAAGACAGGAAAATGATTCTTGCTTCTCAGGAGATATGAATGTGCTATCGTTTTATGTGTTCCAGATATAGATAGCCTGAAAACATCAGGCAATATAAAACGGTCTCTCCTGTCATTTACTCACGGTTATACTGTTTCATTTTGTTCTTTTTTCACAGTCTATTGGAAGAGAAAACTTTGTGCAATGTTGTCCCATTAAAGAGATTGAACCAGGCAGAGATCACCCAGAACAGATTTCAGATTACCTTTTCAGACTTGGTTTGGGTTGTTTTATTTAGGATGGTTTATAAATAATACAAGCTTCTACATTTGAAATACATATGGATGTATCTCACCACCGCTGTCTTCACAAGCATGGTTTATTTTATACACAGATGAAATGGAAGATATATAAAGGAAAAAAAAACCCACAAAAAAGAGAGGTGGTTTGTGTTTGTCTAAATGCAGGGTTAATGTTGAAACACATTTTGTTTCTTTCTCACTGACACTTGGAACTGGCCCAAACTCCTCGATCCTTGGCAAAGCAGACACTGTTCTACAGATAAAAACCTAATTAAACTGAGTGCTACCTGTGGCAAGGACGTTTAGAAATTCATAGAGTTCAAGCAACCAAAACAAAGCATTGGTTTTCAGCTTTCAGATCTGTTCTTGATAACATGCTGCTGCTTTTTTCATGTTTTTTTTTCTTTTCTCTTTCTTTTCTCTTTTCTTTCTTTTTTTTTTTTTTTTTAAGAACTGTGATCTTAGAAGAATCAAAAAATGAGGCAATGTTTAATGGTAGCAAATATCCCTATTGTATGGCACTGTTTTTATTTCTTTTCCATGTGTTCTGTAAATGATATCCTCTCAAAAGGGAAAGTTGGTGAAGTCAGATAAATAAAAATGAAACATTTAGCAGATGACTAGGATGACATTATTAGCTACTGGAATGATACAGCTTGATGAAATCATAGCACTGAGGCAGTGTTTTGACTGACTTCTTCAGTTTCCTGTATAAGTGGCACAGCAAAAATTTCATGGCTTCTTACACTGGCATTTCAAATGCTCCCTATCAGTTAGTGAAAACATAGCACTCCCTTGTGCCCTTGCCATTTGAGTATAAAAGGCAAAGCAACTCACTGGTTCATCTCTAAATCTGCTTGCAGTCCTCATCAACTCATTTGTATGCTTTTCTACTGTATCAGTGCCAAAGAGTAGAAAGTGATCCGTACCAAAATATACTAAAAAGAACATTTCAAGGACAGTTCTAACATTACAAGAAACCTACTAGCTGTGCTGGGAGGATTGAAATACATATCTCTATTTCTTGAATGCATTATACAGTTATTAGCGTGTTATTGACTGAACAGAACAAAACAGGAATCGGTGGGTAAATATTGTGATAATGATATGTATCTGATTGTACTTATATTGGGTATACAGTTTTCAGCTCAGAACATAATTGTGAAGTGTTCCAAGATAATCTGAAGACATGGTGCTTTTTTTTAAGACAATGATATTGGCATCTTGATATGGTGATCCTGTGCCATGTTGTCATGAGAGAGGTTACTATGTAGCAGAAGTTCAATATCATCCTTTGGACTTTTCTGATAGACCACTTAACTATCTCAGCTTTTCCAGTGATCATCTCATTTATCTAGGATTATTGCAGTGAATTTACTGTTTGGTTTTCTTCCAGAACTGAAATGTCAAGTCCGGTGTCATGTATGCAGTAGCTTTGTGCTGTGAGAGCTCAACAGATCCACCAAAAGCTGCTAGTAGTTGATCTTTGGATAGAGCTAGAAATAAATAAATCCTCTTTAGCAGATCAATATTCATCCCATTTAATGCTTGATGTGAAACTTGTGGATTTAAAGTAGTAATGCTGATGTACAGCTAATCGTTGAAATGGGCATTAGGGCTTTTATAGCATGGCAACATATTGTCAGACAGGAAGGCGGAAAGTGTTGAGTGCGTCCTAAGGGGGGGGGGGGGAACTCTGTAGCAATATGTAATTTAATGCACATTCGTAATCCACAGTGTCCTACATTGCAGCAATTTGCTAGGTTACAGACTAATACTGTGCATCCAGTGTTTATTCCAGGGGTTTACTTAGTAAAGCAGATGATTCCCCCTTCAGTGGGTCTTTCAGAGTCTAAATATAATCACACAGTCAGATTTCAGGGTATAATTTTCCTCTTTAGTACTGTCTCCTCAACTAGTTTATTATTTATCCAACTATACATGGAATGTATGTGTCCCATTATATAGAATGCATATATGAATCTAGTACTGAACACATATATACATTTGTGAAGGTATATATTACCTGCTTATTAAATTTATGTGTAGAATTTGTATTGTAGGCATTTCAGAGAAAAGAGAATTTCCATAGAAAGGATAAAATGTCAGTAAAAAAGTTGAGGAATAGTTTAAGAGCACATTTGGAAAAGTTTTGTGGTTTTGGTTTTTGGGTTTTTTTTTTTTGTTGTTGTTTTTTAAGATGTGATTCAAGGAATTATTTTTTTCCCCTCTTTAGTCTGCTGTAGTAATTAAATATTAAAGGCCATTATCTTCTTTCTTAAAATGAATAAATAAGGTCAAGTGAATAATTATGCTAGACCAGATAAAGGTGGTCTTGGCAAACATGAAGAAAGCCGAAGGTTGAATTTTCTTCTGTGCCAAAACTATGATCAGATCTTTGCCTTAGAGTCACTGTAAATAGCTTTGTAATACTTTGCCACAGTATGCTCTGGCTTTAAAGTTCACCTGCAGTTTCCAGATGCTGTGCTGACCAACTTATACCTTGGTGGACTGTTAACTGTAAGATGGTGCAAGCAAAATGAACCTCTCTGGCAGACCTCAGTCCTTCAGCGATTGCAGGAAATATTCTGTTTCTCTTTCATCAGACAGAAAGACTTCTGCAAAATTGAGAATTCTCACTATCTTTGAAGGTGAAGCAAAATATGCCATTGTTTCATACTCATCTTATGTAAGAGATACTGGTATAAAACATAAATTTACGAATACTATGCAACATAGAATACATTAGTATCATACTTTTTTGCTACTGTTATTGGCTGTTTTTCTGAGGAGTGCTTTAATCTTAAAACTGTGAGAAACTTGTTGAGAAATACCTGCTGATGGAGTGTGTAGTGAACTTATACCCCTCTGAAGACAAGGTAAGGGGCAAGGGAGCTGTTACCTTTTAAAACACCAAATCTGAATTCCTTTTAGTATGTCTTTCTTGTAAGACTTCAGTTTGTAGTGGGTACAAGTTTTTGCAAAAAAAACAGAATATGGGAGACACTGGGGAGGATTAAATTTATCTACAAAAGAGTAAATCACTGGGAAGGGAAGGAAAGAAATGCATAGTGGCATTTCATGGCATAGAAGGGAGATGATTTGGAGGGCACAGGTAGTGAAAGAGTGGGAACTTCCTGGGTTGCTCCACTCACTATCAGTGAGGGTTAAATAGTCTGGTTAAGCACTCTTTTTCTAATCCTGCCTCAGTGTCCATGATAAAAAGTGGTATAAGCACTGGGTGTTTGCTGTGGCACAGAGAAGCAATGCTGGCCAGATTTTCTCATATTCGCCAGCCTGTTTTTTCTGCTACCTTCTTGCATTACCTGTAGCAACATTACATGTTCCCTGCTCTTAAGACAATGTAATCAAAATAATTCTATTTATAAACACTTATGTAAGCTTACAAAACTGGAACATGGCAAGAAGAACTGTTATACTTCCTATCATGAAAAACAAAAAAGATCAGGAAAACCTACATCTGCTTTTTCCAAAGAATAGTGAAGGAAGAACTATGCCGCCATGAGAGCTAAATAGAATGTTCCAGACTTCAAATGCCCCATTTAGGAAGCAGAAGCATGGCATACTATTTAAACAAAACAAAACAAAACAAATCCCAAACCAACCAACCTCCTCAAAAAAACCCAAACCCCAGAAAACACCCCACCTTTACTGCTGACACACCAAGCTTAAATTCACATCTCATGGATGTTAATAACTTCTGAGGCACTGTGGAGCTTTTTGTATTGCTTTTTGAGGGGGTTGGGAAGTTACCCATGTTGTGGCAAGATTTGCCAGGTCAATGCACATGAGTAGATCATAATTTCAGAGATCTGCTGGCCTCTCCATCATGAGAGAGTACTTTACAAGAGTGCTCACAAAGTGACAGTCATTTGATCACTTGTATATGAGGCCTACTTAACTAAACACAGCATATGACCTATAGAGGTAATAATCTGCTCAACACTTTGAAGACCTTGAATTTGTCAGTTACAACATTGTGAAGTTAATATCGGAGACAAGAATCTTAGGTTCCTGCATCCTTCATTATACTGCTGCCCATGTGTACAGATGATGAGTCCTCTGAATCAGCTGAAATTTGCAAACATTAAGTTTTCCATTTCATGGGAGAGATAGTCAGTTTGTCCTGGGTATTGTTCTGTTCTTAATTGTGTTCTTACTAAATGTGATACTCGAATCTTTTAGTCACTACTTTGGTATTTAAACAGATAATGTGAACAATTTTTTGAAGTAACTTACTCATGATTTAAACTAAGAAATAAATAATTATTTTTTTTTTTATTTTATGGATTTCTAAATCAACTCCTGCTCTTAAGGAAAAATAATTAAACCCCAGTCTCTCCTTCAGTGAAATTGTTTTAGCTCTGATGATACAAACCCTTCAGTTTCTTCCCAATGCTGTGAAGAGGTTGGAGTTTCCCACTATTAAGGGCTCAAACCTGATCCTAGAAAAGACCCTTACACTCTATGATGAAGCCAAGGAATAACTAGGATTCTGCCCTGTTGTTTTTTGGGTGGGTTTTCTTTTAGCAGTTCTTTGAAGTTCAACCTGCATAGCAAATGTTTTGGTATTTTTTGTTAAGTGGCTCCTTGCCGAATTTTTGTTTTGTTTTGTTTTGTTTTTCATTCTGCTTTTCGAGCACATAGGCAGGTTCAGACAGGAAGTGCAGCCTGAAAGGCTAGGCCAAATCCAGAGGGATTAGTTGCGGCAAAAGACTGCTGTGATCCTGAGTTACTTTCTTAGTAGTATGGCAGAAAAAGAAAAACACACATTCTTGTATGCGTCCAGATCTTTAGGCAAAGCAAATTCCAGCAGACAGATGGAAAATTATATCACCTGGATAAGGCATTTAGGAACATTCTTGTCAATAGAAATACTGATGGTGTTGGTCTTTTGGGTTTTAAAAAACAGGTGATTTTCATGAAACAAAGTCAAGGTTTCTATAAACCATCATTTCCAATGACAGCACAGCAATTTTGTTTCTTTTCTACTGTGGCTTTTGGCTTAAAGGGGAAATTAATACTTTTTGGTTAAGGTAGAAGTTCAAGGGTGACTTTTTACCTACCTGAAGGTGTGTTGAAAAGGGATAGAATGTATGTCTTCCTTTTAATTTTATTTTCCCCTTTTGCTTGATTTTGCCAAGTGGCCAATGAAAGAAATTTATTGAAGTTGTTCCATTGAACTCTTTAAGTGAAAAAAGGAAGACCTGCCCCTGTCTTTACATTAACACCATTGTTCTTGCAGTGTTTTGCATCTCTTTGTAATGAATGTAGAGAAGCCTTTGGAGTTAACTTTAGATAATTCCCTATAT